GACATCCTCAAACTGGCCTTTGCCTTCCATGCTTGAGTTGCAGCACATACACAGACAAGGTGAATAAGTAAATATAAAACAAAATCTTCTTTCTTTTTTGGTGTTTCAAGACAGGGTTTCTCCGTGTAGCTCTGGCTGTCCTGGTAATTTGCTGTGTAGCCCAGGCTGGCCTCAAACTCATAAATCTGCCTACCTTTGTCCCTGTGCTGGGATTAAAGGTTTGTACCACCACTGCCTGGTTTGATTGTTTATTTATTTATTGCTGTGGTTTAAACCCAGGGCCTGAGGAATGCTAAGCAAGCTTCCCTAGTTTCTTTTAGGCTTATTTTAGAGAGGAAGACTAGGTTTCTGAGTTTCTGGGTTTCTCAAGGTCATGAAGACAGCAAACACCCAAGACTGGATTCACATTGCTCTGCAACTCAAACTTTGGCCTTGCTCCCAAGGCAAAGGGCAAATAACCATTTATATTTAACAAAGTCTATTGTCGGCAAACAATGCTGTCTTGTTCTGGGACAAAGATATGGAGGAACTGCCTAGCCCCTGAAGCTCTATCACAAAATCCACAAAATTATCTCCAAAGTCTTAAAAAACTTTCTGATAATCTAACTTACATCATATCCCATGGTTCCAAATTTGCAGATGAATAAAGTAGTTCAGCCTATGATAGGTAGATCTGAACTGAGTATGTGAAGACTTTGTTGTTGTGTGGTTGCCTCCTAAACAGTTCAGGGTAGCAATTACACAGCATCTGTATGTATTCTTAACACAATACAATACAATGCATATTGTATTAAGAATTACACATACTGTATATGAGGTGGTGGTGCAAACCCAGAGGCCAGTCTGGTCTACAAAGTGAGTTCCAGGCTCCAAAGCTACACAGAGAAACCCTGTCTTTTTTTTTTTTTTTTTTTTTTTTTTTTTGGTTTTTCGAGACAGGGTTTTTCTGTGGCTTTGGAGGCTGTCCTGGAACTCGCTTGGTAGCCCAGGCTGGTCTCAAACTCACAGAGATCTGCCTGTCTCTGCCTCCCGAGTGCTAGGATTAAAGGCATGCGCCACCAACGCCCGGCGAGAAACCCTGTCTTGAAACTGCTTCCCCCAACAAAAAATTCCAAAGGAGGCAATTTCAAGTACACAGAAGGATGCATGTGACTTATATAAAAAGACTATTTTACAACTGGGTGTGGTGCCCCATGCCTTTAGCACTGGGGAGGCACAGGCAGGTGGATCTCTGAGTTTTAGGACAGCCAGGACTACACAGTTAGACCTTGTCTCAAAAACAAAGCAAACAAACAAAAGTATTATTTTAACATCCATGGGTTTTGGTATCCATGGGAATTATGGAATCCATTATTGGAAGACATTATCTTAGCTCTTATTTTAATGTTTCTATGTTTTGCCTTGGGGCTTTTTATCTCCTTCCCTCTGTCCCTCCCACCCTTCTTCCCTTCCTTTCTTTCTGTATGCTCTATTTTCCTGCTTCTCGTGTCTGGCTGGCTGGTGGCTGCCTGGTTTCTGGTCCTGGGCATACCCCTCTCTTTCTCTCAAGTTTTCTTCTTCTTCCCTGAGCCTCACTCTCTCCATCCACCAGCGTGACCTATCCCTCTATTGCTTTCCTATCGGCTGTTCAGCTTTTTATTAGACCAATCATGTGCCTTAGGCACACAAGGTGAAACAGCAGCACATCTTTACATAATCAAACATAACAAGTGTAGCACCTAGTTACATTTGCCTAGTTAAAGTAATGTTCCACAACAAGTGTTGGATCTTCTGTAACTGGAGTCACAGATGGTTGTGAGACACCATTCTGGGACTGTGAATTGAACCTGAGTCCTTTGGAAGAGCAGCCAGTGTTCTTAACTGCTAAGTTGTTGAGTGAAGCCTTTTCCTTGCCAGCTGCTTTGCTTTTTCCCCACCAGTTGCCTGGGCTCTGCCACGCTGTAGTCCCCAAATATCACACAAGACGCTGTATTAATTATGAAGCTGTTAGCCTTGCTTGTTTCTTACTGGCTAGCTCTGACTTAAGTATTTACCCCATAATTGTTAATCTAAGTATTTCTCTTACCAGAGAAAAGGGTCCGGACTTCTTACCCCTATGGCAGCTACATGATCTACATGATGAATCCCTGTGTTTCTCCTTCCCAGAATACTCCTCGATTCTTAGTCCCACCTATCTTGTTTCCCTATTGGCCAACAGTGCTTTATTAACATATACACAGGACTTCCCCATCACTGAGTCATTTCTCCTGGCCTTTTTTTTTCCTTTCTACAGTTTCTTGAGACAAGGTCTATCTGTGTATCCCTGGATAGCCTGGAACTCAGTACGTAGACACCAGGAGGCTAGGCTCAAATTCACAGAGATCCATCCACCTGCCTCTGTCTCTGGAGTGCTGACATCAAAGGCATGCACCACCATGCTCATTGATGGACATTATTGCTAGATATTAAGAGGCAACTATAGCTGGGTGATGGTGGCACATGCTTTCAATCCCAGCACTTGGGAGACAGAGGTAGATGGATCTCTGAGTTCAAGGCCAGCCTGGTCTATAGAAAGCGTTTCAGAACAGCCAGGGCTACACAGAGAAACCCTGTTTTGAAAAAAATATAGATAGATAGATAGATAGAGGGGGTGGGGTAGGGGGCTGGGAGAGGGAGAACTATGAAGTCCTGGTTGTTCTGTGCTATAATTCTTACCTCCTTATGAGTTCTACAGTTGAGCTGCTACACAGTCTACAGTCTACACCTTCCACTCCACCTTCTTATCCTCCAGCACTGCCAACCCACTTCCTTCTGTGGAGCAACTTCACACTTGCATCCTTCCACTAGTCAGGGTCTCAAGGATCTAGCCTGTCAGAGCCAAGGGTGAGGCTGAGGAGGACTGGTCCCAAGCACCCTAAGCAGAAAGGGGCTCTTTGTGAGTAGTCCTTTCTTCAATTCACCAGGGCAGCTTTCTTTTCTCTTGTACACAGCTTCATGTTTTAATGAACTTTGCAGTTCATTAAAATGTGTCCATCCTTTTCCTGTAGCTGCTCCATTCACAGGTTACAAGAAAGTTTATAATTAAAAGGTACTTGTCAAGAAAATACCAAGCAGCCAGGCCATGGTGGCACATGCCTTTAATCCCAGCACTTGGGAAGCACAGGCAGGCAGATCTCTGTGAGTTCGAGGCCAGCCTGGTCTATAAGAGCTAGTTCCAGGGCAGCCTCCAAAGCCACAGAGAAACCCTGTCTTGAAAGACAAAACAAAACAAAAAATACCAAGCAGAGACTAGTTGTGACTAAAATCAGTTGCACAGGTCTTCAAACAAGCTTCTGAGCAATTATGTTATCTTTCTCTTTTTTTAGAAAAGCATTTCATGTGACTTGCTGTATAGTGAGGATGACTGAGAGCTTCTAATCCTGCCTCTACTTCCTGAGTGCTAGGACTATAGACATGCACCACCATGCCCAGTTTTATGTAGTGCTGGGGAATGAACCCTGGGCATCACATATGCTAAGAAAGTGTTCTACTACAAAGCACTATTCCAAGCAACAAAAGGTTAATTTGGAACAACTTAATACGCTGGAAAATAGGAGTCTAACACCTGGGCTGTGGTTTGACTAAGAAAGAGGTTTAGATCTTTTCTGTCTTCCTTTTTTTCCTTTTTTAAAATTAAAATATATTATTTTGTTTGTTTTGATATAAAATTTCAGTAAGTATTAGCTCTGACTGGCCTGGAACTTACTATGTAGAACTAACTAGCCTCAATCTCTGTAAGATCCTCCTTCATCTGTTTCCTAGGGTTATAGATATGTACATCCAGGCTTAGCTTTTTGATCTTTTGTGGGAATGCTAGGTCAGTATCAAGTAGGTGTGCACTGGTAGAATTAATTAATCTTGAGACATCCCAAATTATAGATTGTAGGTTGGATTTTATGCCAATCAGAGGTCAGTAAGCATGATGGAGCTGGGAATGTAAGAAAACATGATTGTCTCATGCCTTTGATACCAGTATCCTGGAAGCAGAGACAGGAAGATTTCTGTGAGTTCGAGACCATCCTGGTCCACACAGCCAGTTCTCAACCAGACATGGCTATAAAGTGAAACCCTGTCTAAAGGAAAAGAAATAGTAGTTGGATGGTGGTGGTGAAAAAAAAGAAAGAAAAAGAAAAATATTGCTGCTGGGGATGTAGCTCTGTTGCATGCATGCAACCCTGGGTTTGCACCCCCTACCCAACACCACATAAAAATACAAAATATGGAGCTGGAGAGATGACTCAGTGATTAACTCAGTGCTCTGAACTCAATTCCCAACATCTACATTGGACAGCAAACACTTGTAACTCTAGCTGCAGGAAATCTGATGCCCTCTTCTGGCCTTCTCGGGCACCTGTACACACGTGGAACACCCCCCACCCCCCCCTTAGAAAACATAAAACATCAAAATCCTTTCCTTGTTCTATCACTGTTTCTAGAGTTATTGGCTCTCTTGGGCACAGCAGAACCTCTCACAGGCCTGACCTTGGAAATCCCACCAAATTAGCTCTTCTAACCCCAAAGCTCTGTGGCAGGTAGCAGACCAGCTGGTACAAACCCTGTGCGGTATTAGGGGCTAGCTGGCAAGAAAAGAGGAGCTGAGCAGACAAGGAACTATGGGGCCCAGGGTCCAGGATATCAAGGACAGGAGAAGGACAAAACACATCTGAGCAACTTCAGGACGGACAGCTGCTCACAATATGGAGCTGATGGCAGTCGAGTCCTCTCAAATTTCACAAATTGAATCAGTTTTGGGTTGGTGAGTTGTTTCAGCTGGTAAAAATGCTTGTTGCACAGCTCTGGTAACCTGAGTTGATTCCTGGAGCCCATGTGAATGTGGATGGAGAGAGGCGACTCCGTAAAGTTGTCCTCTACACATGCATCACAAAATTTTTAAATCTTAATTTTAAATCATAAAAATTTAAAAATCAGTTGTATTTATTTTCTTTTTTGAGAGACAGGGTTCCTTTGTGTAACTCTGACTGTCCTGGAACTTCCATCCCCTTGAGTGCTGGCTTTAAAGGAGTGTGTTATCACTGTCGACTGTGTTTTCATTGTGAATTTTAAGATGGATCTCTTGCAAAGGTTCTCTTATGAGTCATCACTGCAAAACATAGTGCTTGCTCTAGAGGGACTAAGAGTTTGTTGTGGTCAGAAGATGGCATCAGCTTCCCTGGAACTGGAGTTCTGGATAGTTGTAAACTGTAAGCATTGCAGCTTGGATGGAAAGGGATCCTGACAGTAGGGAACCAAAGAATACCACAAAGTCACCATAAGCATAGCAGCTTATAGCCCTGCTCCAGGGAAAGGTTTCCCCAGCAAAAGGGTTACAGTTCTGCTCTTATCTGCTCTTGCAAAAAGTTGTTACTTCTCTGATCGGTTCCAAGTCTGCGAAAGCAGGTCTTATCCAAACCTCATTTAAGACATTTATTGGAAGGGAGGAATCCAGGAGGGTGGCTGCCTCTGCCAAGGTGGAACAGGGCAGCAGAGAATGAAACAGGCGCAGGGCTTATGTAGGTTTTAGGGACAGTTTTTCCATGGTGGAGATTTTCGGGGTGGGAATTGGCTGGATTTCAATCCCTGAGTTTAGAGCTCAGGCATTGGCTGGATTTCATGTTCAGGGACTGGTTGTTTTCTTTGTGCTGAGTTGGTCAGAGGCAAAGTGTGTTTCTTTGGCTCTGGATTCAGGGCCAAAGTGTGTTTCTTTCGCTGGCTCTTTTTAACCTTTTGGCTCTGGTTTTAGGGCCAGGATGTGTTTCTTTGGCTGGCCCCCCCCCTTTTTTTTTCCCTACAGAACCCTACTGGGTGCTAGGTACTGGGCCCAAGACCTTTACGAGAGCAACAAGGGCTCTTAACCACAGGACCATCTCTTCTGTGGATGAACCACCATATACAGGAGACAAGAGAACGGTAGGGAGGAAGAAGACTCAGGTCATTCTGTTTACATTTAGCACTTGCTGTTTTCAAAGCTCATGGCACAGAGATCTTTTGCTGAATTAGCTGTATATGGTGACTCACGGAGAAGTGTGGTGGGCATCAATGAATTGCCATGGCATTGAACTATGCGGAGGTGCAAGGACGACTTAAACTCTCTAGGGGGTGGGTTGTAGCTCTCTGATGGTTCAGTCCTGCGTCTGGCGTCTAACAGGAATTTAGGATGTATTTACCGACTGATTCTATCTAACAGGACGAAGAGGGAAGGATCATTACAAATCACTGAGAATCCACTCCAGGAATACAGAAACCAGAGGGCACCGTACATCTCTTCTCAGGTTTTCTGGCGGTCACAGAGGGAAGAAAGTTCTAATCCATGATCCTGGTCCCCAGGGAGTCCCCAGACCAGCTATTTCCGGGTTAATTCCCACCCACCTAGAGTGTTTCCGGTCTTCAGCGCTGGAAGCGGCAGAAAGGTAAGCTTGAGTTTCAAGGACATACATGGACCTTGGAAGTCATTCCTGGCCCAGACGGAGGCGAATCAAGGCGAAAGCAGCCCTTTAATTTTTGCGACACCTAGCACTGCCCGCCAATTATTTTCCTTACGAAGAGTACAGGCGGCGGGCAACGTCACTTCCGGCCACCTGGCGGTTGGCCAGATCCGGACGTGATGTCAGCTCCACTTCGTTCCGGGAGGAGGCAAGGCTGGTCTTGACATTTCCTCTTGTAGGTACCGGAGTGCACCGAAGCTGCCAAGATGTAGTGTCTTAAATAGAGTTGGGGATTTGGCAACTGAAAATGCAAGTCGTCCAATTAAATTTAAACTCACCACAATGTACTTTTTAGTTACAAATAACCCCACATGTACTGTTCATATTTATACTAAAAATTACTTATTGGAAATACAAGTTTCACCAAATGCCCTGCCTTTTATCTGGCAGCTTTGGCCTTGAGCTTTCCTTTGTCCTGGATTCTAATAGAGATCCTCCAGACTTTTGCTGCTCTGTGAGACAGACAAAGTTCACCTAGGGCTGAGTATTGTATGTTTTAGACAGTAAGGTGCTCCAAGCCTTGGGGATGGATCCCTTGCATGAATACCGGGCATATTTACAGGCATTCTGTGGCCGGTGCCCTGTGTATTCTTTTTCATAACACGGCTAGTATTTTTTCTTTTTTTGAAAACTAGCTGTGAACTACAGGGCTAAATGGCACAGGTCTGGAAGTTGCACGATATTTAGGAGTGGGATAAATTGTTACCTACAGCTTTCTCTGTTGCATTGGACAGAGCATCAGAGAGGCTGAGGTGTCAGGCAAACAAGAGTATCAGTGCTCCACCCCTATGGAGGAGTCCATTACTTCATGCATGATAGGCATGGTCTCTCCCACACAACTACACTTTTCAAGTTCCCTTAAAGAATTTCATCCCACCTCTCATCTTGCAAATGAGAAAAGACACATCATACTTTAAAGAAAAATCAACATCCCAGTGCCTAGATAACTTTCTCTCCTATCCACGCTTCTGATACAGTTGTCTTTCAGCACAATGGTAGGCATTTATTATAGTATCTTTTTTCAGGGGCCGTAATGTATATCAGTGATAAGGTAGAGTGTGTACTTGTCACACACAAAACCCTGGTTCAGTCTCCCGTCCCCAGATTTAGATGCCTTTTTACAGATGAATCCTTTGGCTTCGTTGTTCCTATATTTACCCTGTATAGCTTCCTGGCCTTTATCCCAAGACCTCTCTTTTTCTACTCTGCCCAGTGGGGAAAATGATTGTTTGGGCATAGTTCGGAGCCTGGCCTTTGCCTGCTCCAGCACTGGGCTATTTCTGCTCTGAGTGGTGTAACTCAGGGCCTGTTTTGCTATAATGCAGCCAGGAAGGGGTGTTCCTGGCAAGGCTGACCCTGACCAGCTGTGTGGGTACAAGAACATCTTTTCTTGTGCTGTAAATTGAGTCTTTTTTTTTTTGTTTGTTTTGTTTTTACAAGACAGGGTTTCTCTGTATTGTTTTGGAGGCTATCGGTCCAGCCCGGCCTCGAACTCACAGAGATCCGCCTGCCTCTGCCTCCCGAGTGCTGGGATTAAGGGCGTGTGCCACCACAGCCCGGCGTAGATTGAGTCTTATAGCACATGTGCTCTTGCCAAATGTCTCACCTTGAGTCAGATTTTGTAGCTACTCCTGATTTGTACCTGGACCTCTCATTGAACTGGTCTGAGTGCCAAGATTCCTCAGGTTGTGTGCACTGATAAGCCTGTAGCCTTTCTGCATAGACCCAGCCTTCCCGGACTAGTCTTATGAGCTAATGAAACGAGAAGGCTAGAGGTCAGTGGGCTTGTGGTCAGTTGGTGAGACAACCAACAGCCTTTCCCTCCCTCCCTCCCTCCCTCCCTCCCTCCCTCCCTCCCTCCCTCCCTCCCTCCCTCCCTCCCTCCCTCCCTCCCTCTGTCTTTCTCTCCGCAGTAGAAGGGGTAAGAAGGTAGGGCAGAAATGCCAGGAAGGGGCACCGCCTTGTTGTGAGGACTTGGAAGCAGAGCGTGTGGAAGGAGAGGGGTACAGGAGACCACTGGAAGGAATAGCTTTCTTTGTGAATGATTAACTCCAGTCAAAGGAGGTGACCCAGGAGGAGGGTCCACTTACTAGGAACTTTGGACTTGGGGCAGAGTGTCTAGAAGACTGGTGTGTGGCCTACAGAAGAAGAGGACGTGACTGGGCGTCAGGGCTGGGCTTGCAGAACTGGAGTAAGATCAGGCTCGCTGCAGGCTTCAGGAATTCCTCAGCCTTCATTTCAGGTGGCTCATTCTTGCAGTCATGGCTGTGGAGTCCGCCAGCCCCGAGTTCTCAGAGGGCTGGCCGTGATGGTGGGGTTCTGTCTGTGACCTCACTCATTCTCCTCCCTCTCTAGGCAGCTATGGATACCAGACTGTTCTGAGAGAAGTGGGGCATGGCTGCAGCCCTACAGGTCTTGCCCTCTCTCCTCCGAGCCCCATCACGTCCATTCCTCTGGGGACCCCCAGTGGCCCGGATGACCAGTGGTATGGCCTTGGCAGAGCATGCGCGGCAGCTATTTGAGAGTGCCGTGTATGCTGTGCAGCCAGGCCCCATGCTGCAAAGGGCACTGTCTTTGGATCCTAGTGGCAGACAGCTGAAGGTGCGGGACCGGAGCTTCCAGCTACGGGAAAACCTCTACCTAGTGGGCTTCGGCAAGGCTGTGCTGGGCATGGCAGCTGCAGCAGAGGAGCTACTGGGCCAGCATCTTGTGCAGGGTGTGATCAGCGTTCCCAAGGGGATCCGGGCTGCTATGGAGCATGCTGGAAAGCAGTAAGGATCTGTGGGCGGGGGCTGCCCTTTGGAGGAAAACTTCTCTTTAGCCTTGGCGTTCCTATGGCCTGGGTCTGTGTCTCTCTTGACACTCTCACTGGACAGCCGAGGAGTCGGGTGGGAGGAGAGGAGCCACCCCAGCCCCTTCCTGTTTGCTCCCTCCTCAGAGAGATGCTGCTGAAGCCACACAGTCACATCCAGGTGTTTGAGGGTGCAGAGGACAACTTACCAGACCACGATGCACTGCGGGCTGCACTGGCCATCCAGCAGCTGGCGGAGGGGCTCACGGCCGATGACCTGCTGCTTGTGCTCATCTCAGGTGGGGTGCCCCCAAAACCAGAGCTCCCATGTTTGCAGGGTGAAGTTGGGACAAGGGAGGCAGTGAGGAGCCTAGAGGGAACCCTGTGGGTGCTGTCAGGACAGCCATCTATCCTGAGTTGTGATGGTGAGGGCACACTAATAGGCTCCCACATGTCAGAATCTTTGGAAAATGCTGCTGCCTGCAGCTGTGTCTCCTGGGCTCCACAAGCTGAGTTTCCAGTCCCCACAGAACTCTCTTCGGTTGTCTGTTGTTTTCTTCTTGATTTTCCTTAGTCCGTGCTTTAAAAAGTTTATAACTTTTGTGGTGCTGGGGATCGAGTTCAGGGCTTCACACAGGCTAGGCAAACACTCTACCCCTGAGCTCCATCCTCAGCCCTCCCAGCATCTTCTGGGATCTGGAGTACCCTAGCTAGGGGACAACTTCACTCCATGTCCACAGGGGGGCACTGTAACTCCACCTTCTTAGTCTGCTTCCCTTGTGGTCTACCTGGTTCCCCTCCTGTCTCCCTGACACCCTCACTGACTCTGCAGGTGGGGGCTCAGCCCTGCTGCCTGCTCCCATCCCACCTGTCACACTGGAGGAGAAACAGACGCTCACCAAGCTGCTGGCAGCCCGTGGAGCCACAATTCAGGAGCTGAACACCATCCGGAAGGCCCTGTCCCAGCTGAAGGGTGGAGGGCTGGCTCAGGCTGCCTATCCTGCTCAGGTGCATCATCACTTCTTCAAGCAGCCCTGGGCTCCCCACATGTGACAGGGAGATGAAAGCTTTGGCTAACGTATGAGTTGGTAGGGAGAGGTCTTATTGGAGCGGTCCCCGGAGGAGAGGATGAGAGGGGGCTCTCTGGTAGGGGTTCTGCCCGCCCAACTGAAAGTGGCAAGACGTAGACAGATGTGGGTAAGGAAGCATGCCAGGCGGTGTACACCCAGGGCCGTTTGTCCTTAAGGGCCTGGGACATGCAGAGTCAAGACTGAGCCTTTTTCTGTGCTCTTTGCCTAGGTGGTAAGTCTCATCTTGTCAGATGTGATTGGGGACCCTTTGGAGGTGATCGCCAGTGGCCCTACTGTGGCCAGTGCCCACAGTGTGCAAGACTGCCTGCATATTCTTAACCACTATGGTCTTCGTGCTGCTCTGCCACGTTCTGTGAAGACCGTGCTCTCTCGAGCGGACTCTGACCCCCGTGGGCCACATACTTGTGGTCACGTCCTCAATGTCATCATCGGCTCTAATTCTCTGGCACTGGCTGAGGCTCAGAGGCAAGCTGAGCTACTGGGCTACCATGCCATGGTGCTGAGCACAGCCATGCAGGGTGATGTAAAAAGCGTGGCCCAGTTCTATGGGCTGCTAGCCCGGGTGGCTGCAGCCAGCCTTACTTCATCTATGGCCGGGCAGCCCTTGGAGGAGGAGGAAAAGCTCTATCAGCTGGCAGCTGAGCTCCAGCTCCCAGACCTGCAGCTGGAGGAGGCTCTGGAAGCTGTGGCAAAGGCTAATGGCGGCCCGGTCTGCCTCCTGGCTGGTGGTGAGCCCACGGTGCAGCTGCAGGGATCTGGCAAGGGTGGCCGGAACCAAGAACTGGCCCTGCATGTGGGAACAGAGCTGGGAAGACAACCACTGGGGCCTATTGATGTGCTATTTTTGAGTGGAGGCACTGATGGGCAGGATGGGCCTACAAAGGTGGCTGGCGCCTGGGTCATGTCTGATCTTGTCAGCCAGGCTTCTGCTGAAGGCCTGAGCATAGCCACCTTCCTGTCCCACAATGACTCATACACCTTCTTTAGCCGCCTCCAGGGCGGAGCACACTTGCTGCATACAGGGTTGACAGGGACCAATGTCATGGATGTCCACCTCCTGATTTTTCGTCCTCAGTGATGGCATAGCTCATATTTTGGGAGTATATAAGAGACTTGCAAGGGCAGGGTCTCTTGGGAAGATCCAGGGCTGGTTCCCAGGGCCTCATTGTGTGTCAGGACTCCCTATCTCTTTAGCCTTCTCCACCCTGCCCCAACTAGATTGTAAGACAAGGGCTCCTTTCCACCTCTCCTTTCTGTCAAGGCAGCAGGAAGCCCTGAGGCCCAGAAGAAGCTCCTTGCCAGTTCCCAGTCCTTATTTCTTCCCCAGGAACCCATCTGCCCAGATCATCAGCATGTTTCTTCCATGGGTGACATTAGGAGCCTGGAAATAAAAAGGAGCATGTTGTGGGGTCTCAGCTCGCCTCCATTCAGTGCTGTTTTCTTTAGTGCACATCTTCAGGTAGCTGCTGGGGAGGGGAGCACGGTGTGGTCCTAGCAATGGCGCCAGCATCTCACTGTTCCTCACCCGCCTCTCTGCTGGGCACACTCAGGGTCTGCTGATGGGAATCTGTGAGGGCTGAATATGGCTCCTAGCAGCATCAACGTGGGTGAGCAGGACAGATGTAAGGATTGTCACCTATTCAACCACGACTCGCTGTGGCAACCTGACTCCTGCTGGAGCCTGGCTGGGTGGAAATTCCTTCAGTATTTGGACCACTCTTAGCTTTCCCCCTTTATCCTACTCTCTCTCTACCCAGGGGTTTCTTGAGGCTGTGGGGCATTAAGGTTGTTCTCCCATGTCAATTCCATTTCCCTGGGCTAATGCCATGTTCAGTAGCTGCTCCTCAGCGTACACAGTTGGGTCCTGGTGCCAGCATTTCAGTGTGTGTCTCCAGGATTGGAACTGTAGTCAGAGCAGTGAAGGAGTTCAGCAGTCCCTCACCCTGCCTGTTACAGCTGTCAGGGGTGAGTCCCTTAGGTTGGCCTGCAGTCACGACCTGACTCCCCTTGAGCCCTCCGCTGGCTATCCTCACCGTGCGCCACGGCTCCAATCCCTATATGAGTGAGCAATAGAATCACATAGGAATAAAAAGCCATAGAGAACAGTGAGGCCTGGGGCCGCTCCCATGGGCCCCTCTTCCGCTGTGAGGGTGTGCAGGGCTCTAGGTCACCGTTGATGTGTCCTGGGAAGAGCCGCCATTCTCCATGGGCTCTGCACAGTCTGGCTAGCAGTTGGGCCGTGACCCTGAGACCTAGATCCTGCATGTTTCAGAGACTGAAAGGGAGAGAGGCAAGGCAAGCTGGCTCTGAGGACCAGTGAGGCTTAGGGAAGCGGAGTGGTGTGTACCATTTTCTTTCCTGGCGTCAAAGTCTCAGGCATTTCACACTGGTGTTCTGGCATCCCCCAGAGGTGCTCTGCCTTTGTGTTCTTGACCTGGGAATGTATTCCTGTTGGACACCAAGCTGCAGGCAAGAGCTTTGAGAGAAGAGGACTGGGGACCAAGGACTTGCCAGCCACATCCTCAGTGTCTTTGTGTGGTGAGCATGTGAGCATGGGACACGTGTCAGAATGCCTCTGGAAGTGTACCCACAAGTGCCTTTCGGAGCAGGGTTGCTTATGGGTATGGCTGCCTCCATCGCCTGCTGAGGGCTTTACATATGGTCAGAGTCTTGCTGGAGCTCCCCTTGTCTGCCTTGCTCTCTCTTGCTGTACCTGTGTTTTCACAGTCTGGGGGCCAGAGTCCGAATTGGACCCCCTTAGGGCAAACAGTTGGTGGGCTTAACTCACTGTATTTGCTCACCTGTATATTTGGTCAGTCTAGATGATAAAAATATGCAAATTCCTCACAGTGAGTGCTCAATAGAACTTTCCCCTCACTCCATCAATGTCAGTTATGTAGCTGGGCCTGGTGGCTAGGTCTCCTACTTGAGAAGCGAGAGGACAGAGAGTTCATGGCTAGCCTAAGTTACAGAGAGAATTCCAGGTCAGCGTAGGCAACTAAGTGAGATCCCATTTCAAAGATCTTTAAAAAGAAGGCTGGGAATATAGTCAATGGTACTTACTATTCTAGCATGTGCGAAGCCCTGGTTCAGTTCCCAGCACTGAAAAATAAAATAAATGAATGAATGGCTAAATATACATGAGTCTTATCAATATGGATTGTTGAAGGAATTCCCTCCTTCGGCTTTTGGCTGCCATTTCTCCTGACTCAGGTTCCTGCTGCCAAATCCCCATTTCATTTTCATGTGCTGACACTTTCCATGGCTAGAGCATTGTTCCATGAGGGTGCCCAGCCTTCCTTTACCTTAAAGCCTCTTGGTTCTCTGCACTTGGCATGAGCTGTGGGTTTGGAGAGCCTGTGGGTCTGGGGTCAGCTTATCTAAACCCATTTGTCCTATATTAGAGAATTAGAGAAGATTGTCTATCTTGGGGTTAGCATTAGTTAGTCATAGACCCAGCATGAGAACTTGGTTTGGACCCTTTTGGTCATTCTCTGCTGCTCTTTGGGGCTCAGACACTCTGGGGCTAGCCTAAGGTTCAGGCAGAGTTAGAGGATGTACCTTTATTTTCCTTGTTGCCCCTCAGGGGTTTGAGGGTTGTCATATGATCATACTTAGCTTCTTCAGGGAACTCTAAAGCAGATTTGTTGATCTCTTTGTGGACGGAAGGGCGGTGTGATGATTTGGTAGGAAACTCCATGCATGTGAATGGTGGGTGTACACCTAGTGTGCATGTGTAGGAGTGTGTGTCCAGTGCAACCTCCAACCAGCCACTGAGCAGGCCTCCACACTGCTCCATTGTAAGGTGCAGGCAGTTTGGTGTAGTTAGAAAGTTGGGGATATTGTGGGACATGGGCAAAGAGACTTTAAAGGCTGGCTGGCAGAGATAGGGTGGCAAAGAGCCTCATGGGTCTGCCTGGGGGAGTTAACCTTACTTTGATAACACAGACAAGGTTCATGAAAATTTTAGCAGGGCAGTATACCAAGAGGATGTGGCAGAATTGATGTAAATGGCAGGGGATGAAGGAATGTGAGGAGGTAGGAAGGTTCCAGGCGGAGGGACACACCATATTATTGCTCCCGGCGCTTCCTCCCTCCCTTTCCCACCTTTGCAAGTTCCTTATGGCCTCAGCCCTGTAGCCTTCATATAGCCTTGGCAACTCTGTTCTATTTTTATTTTTTTGAGACAGGGTCTGGCTGTCTTTCAACTCAAAGAGATTCATCAGCCTCTGTCTCCCAAGTGCTGGGATTAAAGGTACCACCACACCCAGTTCATTGGCAACTCTTTAGATGCCCACTTTGGAATCAAGATGAAAGCCCTGGTTCAAACATCCTTGGGAATAAATGAGCCCCTCTGTCCATGGGAATGTCATCAGTGCCTTGAGGGTGTGTGAGGTAGAGAGACTGGACAGTTAGTGTGCTCATTTAGAGGGTATGGAGAATCTGTGTTCATATAAAATCTCACTACAGTCGCACTTAAGTGACCTGGAAGGCACATTAGAGTGGGAGCCAGGTCCTAGGCCCTTGTCCTGGCCTCCTTACCTTCATTTCCTCCTCTTTCTGATGTAGACAGTGTTTGTGCCCTGCTCTCTTCTGGTGGGGCAGGGTTATTAGCAGCAGATGGATCTCTATGGAAAAGCTCCATGCAAACAAGAAGCTCAGGGAGAGGAAGAGGGGAAAAAAAAAGAGATGGGGGGAACTAGACAGATGGGGCTGTAGAGATGGCTGCTCTTCCAGAGACCTGAGTTCAGTTCCCAGCTGTCTGTAATTACAGTTCCAGGGATCCAATATTCTCTTCTGGTCTCTGTGAGCACCAGCCATATACATGATGCACACACATACATACATGCAGGCAAACCACTTATACACATACAATAAAAAAGTTTTTAAAAATAGATAAAAATCTGTAAAAAAAATCCTAGATTTTAGTGTCTTCCAAAGGTACCTGTAAGGAGATTTCAGTTTAAAGGGGCCATCTTCTTGCCAGAAAGGGCCAAGATTAGAGCCAGTAGGATATTGGTGTTCATGGCCTGAAGCCAAACAAGCCACCTGCCACCTATGTCCTCTGCTGTTAGAAAGACATTAGCTGGCCTTATTTATTTGTTTGTTTGTTTATAAGACAGAGTCTCATATAGCCCAGGTTGGCCTTGAACTTGGGATGTAGCCAAAAGTGACGTGGAATTTCTCCATCTCCCTTTCTCTATCTCGTGAGTACTGGGGTTACAAATGTGTGCCATCATCACAGTTTTATGTGGTATTGGGGATCACACCCAGGGTCTCATGAAACTAGCTGAGTACCATCTGAGTCACATCTCCAGGCCTTCCTTCTTAGTGTGTGTGTGTGTGTTTGGGAGTGTTTGTCACTGGGCTATACTTCCAGTTCAGGGATGGTATTTGATCTATGAGAGGTCCAGGAGCTGAGGGGGGCTAGCTGGAGTTGCAATCAGTTGCCTGCCTAGCAGGGAGATGGTCCTCTTATGTCTCGGGTAAAAGGACAGAGAAGCCTGACTCCCTCTGAGTTTGGTTCATGTATGAGCAACATAGGTCCAGATTGGGGAGGGGACAGCTGGCCTGGCCCCAGCCTGGGTTAGAGGATTTGGAGTATGCTAGGGGTGGAGATGGGCTGTGCATGTGGATGGAGCGGGTGAGCCCTGATACCCAATAACTTGGGTAGACTTTCACATCAGATAAAGTTGTAGTGAGCTGTGCCCAGCCTGGGAGTGGTAGTTTTCTCCAAGGGGCAGGGATGCCTAAGGGTCAAGCCTCTTAGGTGATCACTTGTGTCAGTCTGGAGGCTTTGCTTGCCCTCCTTCCCCTTGGCTCGGGCTGGCCTGTAGTGGCTGGAAGGTATGGGCTGTAAATGGATATTTGGTCTATAGCAACTATACCGGCTCCATTTGGGGTGCAGTGCTGTTAGGATCAGTGGTAGCAGCTGCTGCTGTACCAAAACGACCTTCTGGTCAAGGGTGAGGGAGAGTTAGCCTCTGTAAATGTGTGCCCTAGGTGTGCAGTCCTTAGGCCACCACCCTTAGCAACTCTAACTCATGGGACCATATCCACCTTCGTGATCTGGTCCACTATTGGTAGTGGGTGATTCAGGGAGCTGGAAGATCTGGTCCTACCCCAGACAGGCAGCCTGAGACCTTCCCCCAGAATGTACCCCATTGGGAAGGTCCCCTATGGGTCATCACTCTCCTAGCCTTTTCTGGCTCTCCTGAAGCCAGCAGAGCTCTTGGGACTATGAGCTTTTCAGTCTTGGTCCCAGTCAGAGCCAGCCCTGCCTGGAGCTGGAGTCCCAGCTAAGGAGGAGGCCTGGGCGGCTCAGCCCTGTCTCTTCTGTCCACTCCAGCTCACCACCTAGCTTTAGGCTCTCAGCTCCTTCTGGCGGCTCCAGGTTGTCCCAGAAAATACACTT